TTTTTCTAGAAATCTGTTTTAAAAAGTAACCACTATTTTAAAGTATATTTAGCACAAGTGCTTTTATGGTATTTAGTGCTATTGGGGATTTAGGCTTGTATAATTTTCGCTTATGATTAAATGAAACAAAATCTTTAACATGACCTATCAATAATCTGGTGACATAAAAACTCATTTCTAGATTATTAAAAATCAGCAACCATTCTAGGCAACCCCCACCCAGGGGAACATACGCTTTGCCTGTTTGAAAGCTGGAAAGTCCTAAGCATTGTGTTACCAAGATATTTCTTATAGTTTTTTAGTAGCCGCTTGCCATGCTTTAAAATTCTTTCAGGATAAAATATTTAATAGTGATGTTTTGTCTAGTTTGTGCTACTGAGACCATATTCTGGCTCTGTCTACTTTTGGATAAGAATATAGTAAGATAATAACCAAATTTTGAATGTAGTCTTAGTGGTACCCCATTTTTCTATTTTCCTAGGATGTAGAATGCTCAAGTGTCACACAAGAGAAAAGACAGCACTTAGATATGTGAATAAATGTATTGTCTGTTAGGTAAGGAGTCTGGATCAGTAAAGATTCTCTAGGTAGACTTCTTCCATTGGTTGTATTCAAGTGATGGCATCAGTTAACAACTGTTGATTTGTTCTTGTTGATGATGATATAGAGAAGAAGAAAAGAATGATGCAGACCTAGACTTAAAGGAACAAACTTTGAAAAACTGGGGACAGTATACCATAGGTAGAAAACAAAATGATTTGATTATAGATTGGATCTAATTGCTAGTTTTAACACTAAGTAGAAAATAGTTAATACTGAATTTGCCTGGTGAGTCTTGATGATAATAGTTTAGAAGGAAGCTAAAGAATGAAAATATTCTAGATCAAGAGAATATAGTATAAAGAAGTAGTGATGACAAGAGCACCAGTATTTGCAGAAAGAACATTTTGAGATAAGCCATTTCACAGCTGAAGAAAAACAGCAACAGCCAGCTGAGATTGGAGCTGACTGACAACTGGCCATATATGTTAAATGTAACACAAAGGTATGATTATTAAGTTATTAGTGTTATATTTACTAGGCGATTACATGACCTACCTATTTGAGATAATGAATGTAACACACACAGACTTTTTAAGGAATTTTTATTCATATTCTACTGATGTGTTTTTAGTGTTTCTGAATCTAGGCTGATTGTCTACTCAGGGATTATGTTTAAACAAAACCATGTTTGTTCACATCCAAAAGCATTACATTTATGGGAAGAACTAGAATTGTAATTGAGACAGAACAGGAAACATTTTTGCAGGTGGGTTGTTACAGAGGCCATGCACATGCAATCTTATCTTTTTAACACCGCCCCCCCCAAACTTTTTTGTCTTTGCTAACTTCTTGCCTTTCCACTTTTCTTTTATGTTTGTGCGTCAGACCTGCTTCTAGTTCTTATTGGCACATGTGAACATTGCTTAGCAGTTTTTCTGACTCATCTCATAAGGACATTGTGAAGGGTCATGATCTTTATATTATTCGAGATAGGGTCTCATGTATCCCAGGCTGGCCTTAAGCTCACTGGCTAGGTAGCCAGGGATGACCTTTAATTTCTAATCCTCCTGCCTCTGCTTCCTCAGTGAGATTGTCAATCTGTCCGAGCACCTCTGGTTTGTTCAGTGCTGAGGCTGGAACCTAGGCAAGCACTCTTTCAGCTCAGCTACATCTTTATTCCATTGTTTTTCTTAGTGCAAGTACATCTTAAATGGTTTAAATAATAAATATATATCATGACACTGGTATTGTAAAAAATAGTATAACCATCACTTAGGTGAAGAAGCAAAACATCCTAGAAGCTTCTGAACCCTTTCTGCATGCTGTTTCTCAGACTTACCGTATGTGTTGTAATTGGTATCATTTGTTGGTAAGTATTCTCTTCTTGGCCTGTTTTTTTATGGAGAACAGAGAGCTGCTGCTAAATCTGAACCCAGGGCTTCATCCAGTCTTCCACTGAGCTCTTAGTCCCTCTCTTTAACCTCCTTGATACTTGTACCCATAGGCATGCACTATCTTCTCTCAGTGTGCTTGCATTGATTGACACATTTTGAATAAAAATTTAAATCCCCCATTCTTTTCTGTCAGCCCTTTGACCCCAGTCTTGTCTCATACATTTCTCACCCACTTGTTAAAAATCATCTAATAGATGAATACCTATTTATTCAGGAAGAAAGTCAAGTACTGCCATAAAGAGGTATAAAGGTCTGATGCCAAACCTATGTTCTTCCTACCTTAAAATAGACTGCCTGGTAGAAGTCTTTAACATTGTAAATAAATACACATGAAAATAGTTACTTGTTTTTTTTTAATACTAGATAAAGTGTGATTCATCAGAATAAAGTTATTAAAGACACAAGACACACGTGGTTTAATATTTTTGTTCAAAAGGGTTAGCTTTTATTTTGGAAAACTCTTTAAGATTCAAAATATCCACCTTAATGACTGTAGGATTAGTGCTGACTCTTAGAAAGCTTTGCAAAGAATAGATGATACTGGTAGAATATATGATTTGCTACCAATGGGAAAGCTTGAAACCAATGGGATTTAAATACTGTTTAACACAACTCAGTCGATGATTCGATGATTTTTTTGTTATTTTACTGTTTCCTGTTATGTAACTATATGAACATTTGTGACATTTTTATTTTTAGAGACAGGGTGTCATAGCCCAGGCTGACTCCAAACTCATAATCTTCCTTGCTCTCTACCTTCTGAATGCTAGATACACAGCCGTGAATCACCACACTTGGCTTATGAGGTGCTAAGGATCAAACTTAGGGCTTCAGTCATACTAAGTAAGCACTCTACCACCTGAACTACATCCTCATTCCAGTAGATTTATAAAGATTTTATTTATTTATTATGTATACAACATTCTGCTTCCATATATATCTGCACATCAGAAGAGGGCACCAAATCTCATAACAGATAGTTGTGAGTCACCATGTGGTTGCTGGGATTTGAACTCAAAACCTCTGGAAGAGCTCTTAACCTTCCCCTCTCTCCAGCCCGATTTATAACTTTTAAAATGCATTTTGTCATTGTTTACTCTTTTTAAGCAAGTGGTAATTAACATCAATTTAAGCAATGGCAAAAGAGAAGTAATTAAGAAGCATCTCTTTCCTAAATCTGTTCTGCTTGAAAGCAACTCTCCCCTCCCTTAAGAAAGAAAAAAAGAAAAGAAATTGTACAGTGAGAATTTTAGGGAAAGGAACTGATAGACCAAGGAAAGTTAACTAGAAGCTCAGCATTTCCATGGAGCTTTCAAGTAAGGCTGGTCTTTTCTGTAAATAGTGTGGAAGTTCTTGGACATTACTATAGAAATGAAAAGTTGACTCCTTACTAATGCAGTATAAAAGTAAAATGCAAATGAATTGCGCAACAAAACATGGAAAGCAAACCACAAAGTTTTAAAAAGTAGGTGATTGTATATAATAGACTAGAAATAGGATTAATTCCTCAACTTTTCCCTCTTCCTTTAAAATCAAACTTTCTTATGTACTCTTTAACTCTCCCAAGAAGTTCCAGAAGCAGTGAAACTAGTTATTTACACAGAATTTTACTAAACTATGGAATATTGTTTGCTTGAATAATTTGTAGTTAAATTTAATTTTCCCCTTTTATATGGAATTGAACCATATACATTTAATCATAAAAGAGTTAGGTACTACTTTTCAGTTTTTAATAGCACTTACAATATACTCATAAATCTGACATTTAAAAATAGTTTGGCATAAAGCAAGTTTTACTGTACTACCAAGCAGAAATGCATGCACGTGTTAAAAAGTTAAGATATCTTATGTCTATATTCTTTCAGGGCAATTAAAGCATTTCAGGAGGTGCTTTATGTTGATCCCAGCTTTTGTCGAGCCAAGGAAATTCATTTACGACTTGGGCTTATGTTCAAAGTGAACACAGACTATGAGTCTAGTTTAAAGGTAGGTTGTTGGGTTTTTTTCAAGGTACAATGTTCTGTTTCTCTGTTGTTTTATACTAGAGCATTGAGAAATGTTGAAACTTATATTGGCAATGTCAAAGAAAATTTATTTAGATGAAGGAACTGTACATCAACTGAACTGGAAGAAAAATTGGGTTCCAGAATACAATGTGTTTTGATACTGAGAGCTGCCTGGTAACTAATCATACCATAATTAAACTTTCATTTTAAGTTTTGTTAAAGTCTGTCAGGAAAGGATATCAGGGCACCTGAAATTCCCTGAAGAAATGATTGTCCACTATATAGTGGTCACAGACAGTTTTACCTGGCTATCGACCGTTTTTCTTTATATGACTCTATAAATTTGTCTACTTCAGCCAGGAAGACATGTATTGTATTTAAATTATAGAAACAGTATTTTCATGGCATTTGGACTGCTTGTTTGTAAGTATAAATATTGTTGGGGAAAGATAATATGAAGTTAGTTGAATATCTGCCTACCTGTGGACATTCAACATCTCTCCCAAGTTTCATTTTACATTGAATTCCTTTTGCCTTCTATGACATCATCACTAGGACTTTCATTAAAACACTTCCATACATGATAAAAACAATCTAAAAAGATTAAAGTTCTAGGGACAAGTTTAAGGTTTTATGAGCTTAATGACTATAATGGTTGCTGAGTTTTTATACTGGTCATGACTCTAAAGGTTGTGGGAAGGATAAAGAAGGGAGATATTTGAACTCACGAGTAAGGAACTGCCAATAGGGGTTTTGTTTTTGTTTTTTAAACTGTAAGTGTTCCTAATTGTTTATATTTTTAAAGCAAAAATTATGCAAATACTGTTTTCTCCAACCATTAATGCTTTTTAAAGGAAAAAAACTGATGAGGGTTATGCAACCAAGAACACTAAGACAAATAGATTGTAAAAAATTTAGACCACAATAGTTGAAGGTAAGTTCAAAACAGGAATAATAAGTCCCAAAATACCTTTAAGTAGTATGGAGAGTATAATACCTGGAATTTACAGTTTTCCTTAGCTTAGTGGAATATTTTTTTATAATATGCTGTGTTCTATCATTGGTTTTGAAGTGGAAAATAAATTTAGATCACCTTATATACCTTAAAAGTTCCTTCTGGATAGTCCATTTTCATTAGCTATTAAAGATTCTTAACTATGTTTTATTGTACAAAATAAACTTTGTTGAGCATTTCACAGTATCGTTAAAATATCCCTGTTAAGTTGCAGAAGGCTTGGTAGCAGTTTAAAAATCTTTATTCTGGGTGTGTATTGGGGGTGGTAATTAGATGTGTCCCAAATTATAGAATATAACTATTCTTGATTGTTAGTAGAACAATTGTAAGGCCTGTCCCCAAAAGGGAAGATCCTCACTCAAGTCTCGGGATGACGCGACCCCCTAAGTACTCACGAGAGACTGTCCTTGCTGCAATCGCACGAGGTTTATTGACAGGAGCCAGCGCGCTGGGGCCGAGACTCATATCCCACGCAGGGGTAGAGGAGTTTCGACCCCGAATGGCTGGGAATAGGGGTTTTTAAAGAAAGAAAGAAACCACAACCCAAAATACCAAGAATACCAGTGAAGGGTCCCGAGGGAAAACACAAGGGGAAACTCCCTATTCCTTAAGATTGTTTGTAAGATTCTCATCTTAACTTTTTATGGCTAGCCTTTTCCTGGAACAGAGTTGCTGAACCAGCTAGCCACCCTATATCCTAGGCCTTATTTTGTCTGCTGAGGGGGTCTTCTTTATCCTGGCCTTTCACAATAACTTTAGAGTAAATGCATGGATAAAAATCTGTTTTCGATAAAGCAACAGTATTAAAAGTTCCCTTAAATCAGAAGGTACAGTGTTTCAAAGCTAACTAGAAATATTCCTGCTTCTTATACTCATCTAAAATATTCCTGATAGTTTTTCAGGTCTAAAAGGCTAACAAATCTTGATCATGTTTATTTTACCAAAAATGTTCTAAATAAGGGCAGCCTTCCTTTTACATTTTTTTAGTCATTTGTTTAAAAAATATAGTATCCAAATATTTATTACATTTCTACAACATGGGTGATTTTTAAATGCTCCTGATGTTTTTTTCCCACAATGTCAAGGCTTTGATTTGATTTTTTCCTTGCATTGATACTTATTTTGAAAATTTTTAGATCTCAGCATTTTTGGTCCAAGAGCAGCTATTTTAGTGTATTATTTTGTTTAGCATTTAGTGAGTGGAGGTAGAAAGTGGAAGGAGGAGGGTGTATCTACTTCCCCCTTAGACTGCCTCCAGTTTTCTTTTTTTTTTTCTTTCTTTCTTTTTTTTTTTTTTTTTTTTTTTGGTTTTTTTTTACTTCCATCTGGATAAGAGGAGAACCGGACCACATCAGGTTTTTTGTTTTTTTTTGTTTGTTTGTTTGTTTGTTTGTTTTTTTTTTTACAGTATGTTGGAAGAGATGCTTTTTAGGCTACAGCATTAGCAGGCAAAGATCTTTCATTTAGCCTTGTATCACGAAAATAAGTTACTCAGAGACAGGTTTTGGGGGTTCAACCTGAAGATCAGGGAAGCAAAGCAGCTGGTCACTAGCTCTCACCTCAAAGTCAGGCTGAAAGGGCTTACCCACACATGAGCTTTTCACCTAGCCTTAGACTGCTGCCTCAGCTTGGCTGGAGAATCAATTCCTGATACTGAGACTAAAGGAGTGTACTTGGCTTCTATGGCTTGTGGCTAAGATTGCTTTCTGAATCCTCAGGCAAGCTTTAATAAGTCATAAATAATATATCACTGCAGAGCCTGATGACTTGAGTTAGTTCAAGAGTACCCACCCACATGGTAGAAAGAGAGAACAGTCTCCCGAAGGTTGTCTTCTGACCTCCACACATGTATGCACACACAAATACAAATAAATGCTCATGTGTGAGGTCAAACCTTCAGTATTAGTTGAGTAAATTGACCCCAAGTTTCATGCAAGATAGTTCCTTTTAGTTCTATTTTAACCTTTTTTTACAGAAGAGGGATACATTTATAGGCATATACAGTGGTGTATAGTGCTATCGTTTATAAGTAATGCTTAGTAGGTAGTGATCACCATTCTTTCATTCAGGAGAATGATTCTATCTTCATGTTAAATCTTTTCAGAAGTATTTCACCTTTCATCTTATTGGCTGGAAATAAAACACATGGCCATTCCTAATTGTTTATCGAAAGAGATAAGTCATTTTAGAAAAGTTCTGCTCAATCTTTGAGTAGGTTCAATCACCAAATATACTATTCTTACATAATGGAGGAATGAGATAGATAAAAAGAATATTTTAGTAGTGAGGGTACTGTAAATATTCCTTCCATTACAAATCAGATCTTAAAAAACAATAAGGATATACATATATGTGCAGGTGTGCATCCTTGCAACCTGGAAGAGGAAGTCTTCACTCTCCACTTACTCCTTTGAGGCAGGGGCTTTTCCTAAACACTAAAGCTCATAGTTTCTCTAGAGCTAAGCAGGAAGCCAGCAAGCCCCAGCAATTCTCCTTCTCTGTCCTCTTCACAGCTGAAGTTACAGACATTAACAAAACACCCTACTTGTTACATGGAACTTCCAGCCAAACTCCAGTCTTCATGATTGTGCAGCAAACACTCTTAGCTACTGAGCCCAGCTTCTGATCAGTTCTTCTTTGTTATTTCCTTGATTTTTTTTTTCTGAAGAAAGATGTTGTTTGCATGCTACTTTTTAAATGAAAAATTTATATAAAAATAATTTATTTTCTTAATAGATTTCTTTTGTCTAGATATGAAATGGATTCCAGAGCCTCCTAGTTTGTTTCAGTGTTTCATATTTTTATCAAAATACATCCCTAAAACAGATTCAATCTATTTGGTACTATATAAACAGCTCTCATAGCAAGCGTATGTATGTATGTATGTATGTATGTATGTATGTATGTATGTTACAAAGGTGTACATGGAGAAATATTTATGTTCATATACATAATCATTCTGTATCTTATAGCCTTTTTTCCCCAGCTATAATGGTGTTATATAGGATTACCTTATTAACCTGAGCTCTGCTGGGATTCACAGGTGTATTCTTTCCTGTACAGCTTTTGACTTCAGTTTTTTTTTTTTTTATTTGGGTGTGCTGGGTTGTGTGCCCCCCCCCCAATGTTTTGTTGTTTTTAGATAGGATCTCATTCGACCCAGTCCAGCCTTGATTGTGGCAGAAATTAGTCCTGAACTTTTTTTTTTTTGATGAAATTTGATTTATCTTATGTGTATGGGTATTATGTATCTCTTTACTACTTGTTTTCCTGGTGCCTGAGGGACTAGAATTAGAACTGCTATGTGGGTGTGGAGAATTGAACCTGGGTCCTCTGAAAGTGTAGCTGATGCTCTTAATCCCTAAGCCATCCCTTCAGTCCCTAGCCCTGAATTCCTGATTTCTGCCTGTCTCCTAAGTCCTTTGATGTGTGTGATATGTATATACTACCATGCATTGGTTGTGTATCTGTTTTATTTGTTTTTGTAAGTCTGCCCATCCTCAGAAATATGAAGTTAATGACCTCATTTTTCAGTCCCAGTGTTATTCTTCTTCCCATTAAATTGCCTAGTAAATATCTCCTGTGGTTAATTCATGATAGACACAACATTTCCCAATTTGTAAACTGGTTTACTATTACCTGAATAAGACTTCATTTCAGGGTGATAAGTCTGTATGGCATCTTTTAAAAATTCTTTACCACATCAGATAATACTTATCCACAGTTGGATTTAGTTACTTTTTCTAAAAACAAAATTCAATAAATTTAGGTGGTGATTTTTATGTTTAATTTCCCTTTAATGATAATTGCTTATTTTTTATATGCTTGTACAATGACTACTTCTCTAAAAGCACACTAATTGGCAAGTAGTTTCTGTACTGCCCCTAATTTCTACAGCCTGCCATACTATTAAAATTATTTCTTGCATTTGAAGCTAATAAATGAAAATAAGATCCATGTTCTTC